CACACACACACACACACACACAAGGCATATGACTTTCTATTACAGAATGAAATACTGTAATGAATGTAGTGGCCTGGTTACAAATTGTTTGCAGCCCGGCACTGCCTCTTCTAAGTGTTTGACTGTGAACAAACCATTCAACCACTGCGAGCCCCATTTCCCATTTGATACCTGGAGCTGATAACAGTACCTTCTTCGGGGAGCTGTGAGAATGAAATTACATAACACGTAAATAATTAAGCTCATTGTCTGTGCATAGCACATACTGCAAATATTAGCTAGTAGTAGTATATTATTTGCACAAATTACCTCTTTCAAATTAAAATCATGAGAGAGAGAGAGAGAGAGAGAGAGAGAGAGAGAGAGAAACTAGATTATTTTCTTAGTTTCTTTTTGATCAGTACCAAAGGTTGGACGCATTAACCTCCTTGAGTTTTAGGTGGCAGCTGATAGTCCTATCAATTTACATTTCTCGTTTCTTCTCTCTGAAGATCCCAAGCACATTCTGTCCCTTGCATTTTGCCCAAATTCATTAGGAAGAGCCCAAATCTCAGCCTGACAACCTCTTTCTCGGTCTCTCACTCCGTCTCACCGAGAGCTAAATTAACGAAAAGAGTATTTGGTTAGTCATGTTAGACGAGCCATTCCCAAAATAGCACCTTCCATTCTGGTAGCTTCAACTCTGCAGCTGCTGTGTCTCTTCGAGGTCTGGGAAGAAAACTTTCACATTAAGAGTTGCTGATTCGGATTTTCTCTCTTTCCCTTCTCTGCGGTGATGAGTGCCTGGCTCCCGACAGAAGCGACCTGGCTCTCAGCTTTGTAGTCGGGAAGAAGTTGGGTTTATAGATTTTTCCCCTGACCCTCCTTTGACGCGTTGAGCTGCCGAGGGAATACCTTCGCGTAAAGCATGTTGCCATCTCAAGGAGTCCTCCTGCATCCTTATGGAGTGCCCATGATTGTGCCAGCAGGCCCCTACTTCCCCGGACTGATCCAGGTAATTCAAGGCCAGTGCCAGCAAGCAACTTAACTCCAGAGCGCTCAGAGTAATAATTGGAATTTTTATGGTTGAGAAAGCAAACACTTTTAATACAGGAAAAAGCCCTCGCGTAGTCAGTGGGAAGACAGTAGGAAATCAAAAAGATGGATTGCCCTAATCTGGCTATTGACATCTCTCATGGCTGAATAAATGGTGTAGTTGAGCTATATTTGCTTGTATTGATCCAGCTGCTGTTTAACATTCCTGCCTTCGCCTCAGGAGGTTGACCACGGGGCAAAGGATTTGCTCCCCTTCCCAGCTTTCTGGGGGGGGGGACTCAGGCTCCCAGAATGGATCACGAGGCCGAGTGCCCAATCCTGAGAGCTTTAACACAGGGACTATAGAACGAAGGTAGAAAGAACACGAACTACACATTCACTCGTATGTTCTCCTTCACGTGGAGGGTCTGTTTTCACACAGGGCTCCTGGACCTGGGTGGAGTGGTGGCACTCAGGCAGAGAGCAATTCTATTGGTGGTGAATTTATGAAGTTCAGAGATTATTCTAGGAATCCCTTCCCAGCTCTTTATATCTTAACGATGGCAAGACAGTGGGGGATTGACATGTGTTGGTTTTACTTTTAAGACTGTGTGGGGAGAATCATCTATGAATAAGATATTGTGGCCTTTTTTTTCCCCCCTTTATCAGAAGTGTCTTTTTAAATAAGCGTTGGGTTCTGGGTAGATGTCTGAAGTTCTCTGTGGCAAGCTAACATCCGCTAGTGACAGAGCCTAAACATCACATGGTTCTTTGTTGTGTTGTTGTTGGTTTTCGTTCTTTTTTGTTTGTTTGTTTTAGAACAGCCATCCCTTTGTACTACATTCTGAATCTTATTTCTATAGGAAAAGAGGAAAGGAAACCTGTTTAGTATGCCCTTTTACCCTCAACCTTGTGATATTTTACAATTTTGCAACACCTTTAGCTTGTCGATTCAAATTTCTAAGGGAAGGTGCTCGACAGACGCCTTTTTCCCTCCCTACCTGAATGTCGCTTCTTAACGTGAAGAACCTCGGCGATTGGAGACATTCAGGGTTGATGCTCAATAGTAACAAAACATTGTGCCATGGCATGTGTATGTCTGTTGCTCAGTTTGGAGGCTCTGTGTTGTATGTGAGAAACAAATGGACGGCCTGGAGGCGGCCCTTAGCGATGTGGTAATTGGTCCATCTGTCCTGGCAAAAAGCAGGCCAGTGTGGCGTGCGGGGACTTTGAAGTAGGACTCAATGGAAAACTGAGTGGCCTTCTGCTTCTCTTGGAAATTTGGGGTGAAGGTCGGCCGCTGGAGTTTTGTCAGACCCTCTGCCGCCCCATCCGATAAATAATTACAAGCAAATTGTGCCCTTCACTCTATGCTGATTGATGCTGAAATTGCTTTTGAAAGTTCTCATAAGTTCCTGTTATAGATTAAGTGCCGGTGCAGGAAAAATACCACCACCCACTGAAATGGGTGAATGTAATCAGGCTTAATGGACTCGAGAGCTTGTTGGGAATTAAATAACTATCGATTTGCTGGGATGTTGCTGTCATTACGAAATGCCACTCTGTGGACGTATTGCCCCCGTGATAGATGAGAAGACGCACAGGCCAGCTGAGATATTGGGGAGACCCTATGTCTTCCTCCTTTGCAGGGCCTTTGAGAAAGGTATGCAGATATTTGGGGAGGAAACAAGTGATTTTACTTGT